TCATCGTTCTGCTGCTAGGGTCGAGTGGCAAACCGCCTGCTTTGTCGTTTAACTGCCGTTACCATAAACGTGCCAATGGTAGCTTACCCCTGCTGAGCAGCCTATGTGTGTGACAGAGACAGAACGAAAACCAACACTTTCCCTGACTCCGTCACACACATAGACTACTCAACAGGAATAGCTAGCGACTCTTAAATGACTAACCAAGTACACATATTTTCTATCTTGCCTATAGATATTTAACCCATGAGACTTCTTAGTTTTGAGTCTCCTTAATATAACAGAAGTCGTGTTTACAAAACAGTGTTAGGCTGATAAGTACAGTCCACATCGACTTAAAATATTACCCTTAGAGAAATGAAGTTATTCGAATCGCCCACCTAAATTACACAAGAATCTCTGAACAATATCCTGATTCGTACAGCAACATTAACACCCCAAAAAAGATTTACTGTCGTCCAGTGTCTTTAGGGGATAGTGAGAGAGAAAGAGGGTTATTATACCCGTTTATTAAATCGTCCCGGTGTGGACAGAAAGCGTCGAGCTCCATGAAAAATTCAAATTCGGAACCGGTGCGCGATGACGAGGCGACGAGAGGACCACCATCGGTTTCCAACCCCTCGGCGTGACGGGGCGCGTTCGTCGAGTTTGTTTCACGCCGCGAAACCTAGATGCGCGCCCCCACTCCTCTCTTCGGGCTCATAATCAAAACTGCATTAAAATCCTGAAAGCACCACGGAGGGCGCGATGAAAAGTGTTTTGTCATCCAGGGGTGGACCCCGGCTCAACAATATGCCCCGGCTACCCTCTCGACGAGAGGTGTGGAGAGGGGTGAGGGACGGTGACGTCGGATCCCGAGTTGCATCGTAAACCGATAATTTTAGTGGGCCATTACGATAGCGCGCGATAATAAAGCCGTAAAAAGCGCGTCTCAGCGAGCGACGCTTTCCCGTGAAAATAGAGCCTCGCGTTTAATTGCAGTCCCGCGTAACCGGCTCGCATCTTTTTTTTTACCCTCCTTGCCCTCAGTTTTAATCGCGATAATAACCGTAAAAACTAATTTCCCGATCGGCCCGGTGAAACGCAGCTGGAACTGTGCGCACAAGTCGGAAATTTACGAATAAAATGCCGGGCGTACAGATCCGTATGAAAGAAAGGATAGATGACGTGGAAGGCAAGGTCACGTACTCCGGAGTGGCTTGTTTAATTGCGGTCGGTTTGCTTTTAGCGGGATCGTGAAATCGATTTCTGGTTATGGGGAAGTATATGTGGTCTTCTTGGTATTGTCCGCTATGGAAGGTCTACATTAAACACACTCGATTTTATTTGTTTCTCGAAGCGATTGTCATCTCGCTGAATAATTCGGAGCACCTAATGTGACACTTTAGATACACGAAGATTGTTAGTACATATAAATATCACAAAGGTCACGCCGCTGTTGGAGGTAGCTTCGGGAAAGAAGGGTTATTCCAAATTTACGAACGATTTGTGTACCCACAAACGGGGCAAACAGATAAGCCTTATAAAAGGACGTTACAGAGTCCATCTTAAATTCCTATATCCTCGAAGTTAAAGACATCAGAGAAGTCTGAGTGTCAGTATGATATTCAAAAAATTCCCGAGGAACCGTATATTACATCGTTAGTTGAAGAATTTCACGCAGAATCCACGAAAGCTCTTCGAGCACGGGCATCGAACAGCGTCGAGGAGAACGGATCAGGTCGTTTGCCAGCCGCCACCTCGACTGTAAAATTTTATCCTGTCCGTTTTCTGCTCGGCGGGCTTAAGTTTTCCGGCGGGTGGGGATATTTTCGCCGGCTACACCGTCGAGAAAAAGAGAGAGGGAAGATTGGGCAGTTGCCACCGCCTCTCTGTTCTCCTTCCTCCTCATCCTCCTCATCCTCATCCTTCTCCTGGTCGCCCTCCGTTCTCCTTTTGGCCAGGGGCTGTGCGCGCCATTGTTCGGGCGATATTTCAGCCACGGGGGTGGTTTGCCAGTGGGGTGGCGCGCGGGGGTTGGCGACGGTAGTCAGCTGGCTGTGACACGCCGCTGCCTACGCCGCCAAAGGGGGACCAGAGGCGTTTAGGAGTATCCGGGGGCTGGGAAGGGGCCCTCGGTTTATACAGGCCGGGGATACTCTTTCATCCAACGATAGCCGTCGAGGCCTTGACTTTGAAGGGAGCCGGTGCCGCGATCCTCCTGCCGTTTATGTACTCGTTCGACTCGTTTCGCTGTGACGGGGAACCCGCGTCCACGGTCTATCGACGATCTACCGTTTCGGTGCTCTCTGAAGGGGGTTGTAAAATTTGCAATTCGATGTTTGCACGTCGATTTCGCTGCAGGCTGAAGTGCGAGAAAGTGGTGCACGTTTAAGTCTTGACCATAATGTTTGATATCGAGATTCGGATAGCACATAAAATAGCAGAAATAAATATGTGTCTTAGAATCCAGATTTTGACTTTTATACTGTATCTCCTGAAAGTCCTTTTCTTCTTGTACAGTACCGTTCCTAAGTATTAGGACATTTGGTCATAATAAAAATTAAATATCTTCGACCTCTTTTGTTAATTCATATTAGCGTGTTATCTGTCGCGCTTTAATACCTCCCAAGTAATACCTATTTCAGACCTTCAACGATTTCGTATCAACATAAAAAGACATCTAGTACAGAAACAAAATTTCATCTCATTTTCATATTCTTAAATCACTGACTAAAATTGCGAATTTCCATAAACATCTGCAGTCTACACATTACATTTATCTCGCATTTCACAATTGCCCTAATACTTATGAACGGGCACGTATATGTGTTTTAGAAACTTAACTTTTCAGACACTGTAATATCATATTTCCTACACCTGAGCCTGTGTACATACATAACAATCTTATCTCCATCAGCAGTAACCACAGTCGAATATCCTCTTCAACCCCGCATCTTCCGTTCGTCTTCCAATTCCCATCCCTCGAGCAGCCTCCCCCGGCAGCATTACCATCGATATCGATACACCCGTTGAACCGTACCCGGAGCCGCGTTAATCGAACGCGAAGTCACCCCACCCTCCCATCGAACACCGCCTCGACTTCCGTCGCGACTCCGTCGAGGCGATCGCGGCCCGACAGAACGCGCGCGTCGGTCGAGACTTTAATAATTATTATTCATAAGACTCCGCCGGGAGTCGTCCAGGCGTGAGGGGCCAGGCAAGAAAGATGCCGCGAAACAAGAGGGGGCTCGCAGCTGCCGCTGTTTCCTCTTCTCGGCGGCTGTGGGCGCGCCCTCCTTCCTCGCCTCGGTGCCATGGTTTTCCGCGATGAGGAAGGGAGTGCGCTCTCGAGTCAGTCGAGCGGAAACCCAATCACTTCCGGCGTCTGCGCCCATTAGGGCGCCGCGACGCTGACGTCGGCTGACGTACGCCCTTTTCGCTTGTCTTCCTTGCTCCCCCGCGGATGTCTCTCTGCTCTCTGCTCTGCTCTCAAACGATCCCTGCACCCTCCCCCCCCTCCTCCGACGGTTGGACCTCACCCAACCTCGAAATAGACCGCAGATCTATTGTTTGGAAAGCGCTCGCACGGAAGCTCCTTCAGCGTGGCTAATGACGTATCGAGGATGCCGGCTGCTTGCTTCTTGCCGCTCCTCCGCCTCGCCCCGCCGCCCGACAACACGCCGCCCCCTTTTTCCTGGTTGTTAGCGAGATAATAGGTCGCGTCGTACTCCGGTTTCCGTCGACGTTCCGCGGAGATGGGACGGATGGGTTTTTGAAAAATTTCTTTGCGGGTAACTTTGGGTTAATGGATGATTGCAATTCATTGTAATTATTTTCTGTTGCTGGTGGACTAATTGGTGTTGTTGTATGGAACGAACTGACTTTGTTGTTGTAATCGTGGGAAGAAAAGTATCGCATAGGATTTTGATGTGTTCATCGCATGGAATGGGAAATACTATAGAGTACAGATTATAGTAGTATAAGTGCGTAACTTGTCAGACCAGGCCTAGTACTGTTGAACACAGTAGTAGAATCAACGAATTCCCTCGGAACACTCATTTATACTTCCATATTAGACACTTTCTTGATATTCTGAATATTTATCCAACACAAACAATCTCGTAAAGTCTCATTTACCTATTTTATATATTTCTTTCTCTTGATCATAATGCTTCTCGTACAACATAGTGTATACTTCCTAAATTTCTTAGGCAGATTCCGTAATGTCTGTCGTATCGAGTAATTAAAAACGTCATAATTCGGCCGTGGACGCGGAGTTGGATCGATAGGACAAGCTCTGATTGGCCGCGGGTCTCGCGCACCTGTAGCCCTCTTTCTACCGTGCATTTCGCTCGGCCACTTCGTCAAATTAACATACACGATTCGGCCGGAAATTACGTCCGACAATTACCCGACCTTACGCCGATGAAATATCGACGGTGCCGCCCCGACCGGCCAAATTGAGATGAACGATACATCGACGTACGTACGCGCGTTCTGACCGAGCTTTCGACCTTATCGCGGCGATCGCCTAATGCCCGCTGCCCGTGATCCACTGATCTACATAATGAGTCATGAATACGTCTGGCTACCTGACTGGAATCGTTATCTCTGATTACCCGAATAGATTCCTCGCGCCACTAACGTTGGACAGAGATTTACATAGTACGCGGGACCAAATGACTGATCTTGCATTCAGATTATCCGCCGATATTAACCCTTTGCCACGCTAACTTTTCCCCTTGACGAACAGCATCGAATCGTTAACGAAGCACAGAGAATCTTCTATTCAATTTAATCGAGAATTCGTGTCTTTCTGATATCGAAAGCTTTAATTGTTTAGAAAACAGCTGTATCATAAGATATTTATCGGAATGCCAGTTTATCGAAGAAAAGAAAGAGTATGAATTGAACGGAAAACCTTTATAAACAGGTTGTAAGACATAAGTCGAACTAAAGTCTTTATCGATGAAAGGTATTGAATATTTTACTAACCTTCGCCGCTCCGTCTGTTTCAGGTTCATCAACGCGAGGCGTAGAATTGTCCAGCCGATGATCGACCAGAGCAATCGAGCCGGTAAGACGAGCCCCATTCTGTCAACAGATCCTTACACACACACATACAACACCGAAGACGCGTATAATTTCATGTCGCCTGTGCCGGGCATGCATCACGGATACGTTTATCCGGCTTATCACGAGGGTTACACACCCGGTCCTTATCGCCTGACGTAGATCGATGCGTGCGTCGAAACGAAGGAGCGTTAGCGTCCCGATAGTAACGCTCGTCGAATCGGCATAATTGTCCCGATTAGGCGTCCGTTCTTACGAAGATGTTACTTTATTTTTACTTGTATACGTTTTATCGAACGTAGACCTTGATAGATTTTAAAGATTTGCAATTCTTTATTATACACTTTTAATAATCTTTTAATCCTTTATAACATTTATATCGCTATACTGAAGACGATTATGACGATGTTTTTGTTATCGTCTATTCATTATAAATAACTTTTTACTATTAGATAGAAAAATTCTTTATGTTTTATCTATAATATGTTTTTTCAATTATAAGACTGTTTCTTTTATTATTTTTTTTATATCCAAAATTATTTCATTTTGTAGTTTAATTCATTGTATTACGATTTCGATAGTTCAGATGTCTATTGTTCGTTGATACAGTTAGTAGCGTAGGAAGAATCGTATTTTACTTGGTTAATTCACCCCTATGTTAGACGTAAGACGCTCGGGAGAGCGGAATTTTTGGTATACTGGCAATCACGTCGCCTGTTAATTCGCCCGGTTGTCCTCAACGAGTCGAATCCTCGAATTGACCGCGACGTGTTGCTCGTGCAATTTTATGTAACCGAGGCGCCTCGGAAGTCCACGGCGTTTCCGACGCGCCCCATCTACCTTGACGATTTATCAATAAACGAATCACCTGAATGATACGAAAGCGTGTACTCGTGTTGTTACTTCGGCGGAAGCCGATTATCCTAGGAATCGTTTAGATTCGCAATTAGCTTCACTTGTTCGTTGGCATTCGATCTAACATTGCGTCACCAATGAATTCAAAAAATTGTAAAGCGAACCGAAATTAAAATAAAGACAATTCTTCAAATACATCCCCTCTTATTCACGGAAAGACAATTCTTGTGTCCTTTATTAATACTGTTACGTGTTACTCGATAGTTGTTACTCTCCAACATAGAGAGAGTAGAGTCGCAGTACGACCTCTACAATAAATAATTCTTCATTCAATCACTCCTGTTTTCTTGTTATTATTGGAGATCATGCCGCTAAAACTTACTGAAACGGTTCAAAGATATTATCAACGGGATAACAAAAGCTCTCGACGAACAAAAAAATGAAGGAACATTTACGTACCGATCCGAACAAAACCCGGACGAGGAGTACAGTTATCGAAATAAAATAAGGGTCGCCGCGTTACAGTACACGTAAAACCACCCGACCAATTTAACGCTACACGCAGGACCAGAGCCCCTGGGCGGCGGGCGTTCAGCCACCAAAAAAAGCAAACACGAGGGAAGAAAAAGCAACTCACCCTCCACCTCCATCTCTGTGTGTATCCGGGCCGTGTAATCTGTAAAGACGTCGCGTTTACGAGGAGGGAATCACTTCGTTTGCAGTAAAAGGCGACAACAACGGTTACCTCCAGCCGGGGGTTAGGGGCTCGAAGTAGCGTCGCTCACTCGGCCCTGCCCTCTATTCTCGGGGCTCAAGGGTTCGCTTGTGATTCGGATGATGGCGGGGTGGGTTGTTTCGTGAAGGTCCCGGGGGTGGGCGAAGGTGGATAACGTTCCGGATAACGTTCGGATAACGGCGGGATAATTGGTAGCGGTGATCAGACCGAGTTTTACGAGCCGCCAACGCACAAGCCCCCTCCGACCACCCTCTTCTTTTGCCCCAGGAGCCGGTATCTTTTTTCAGGGGGGAGGTTTCTTTTGTTTCCTCGAACGTGTAGAGGGCACGTCGTGATGGGGTGGTCCGGTTAAACGGTCGAAACGGACCGCGGCTACCGTGTTTTTACGAGCGCTCTCCCTCATAAACACTCCACCGAGTTACGGGTTGTTTGCCACGGCGAAACTGGGCTTCGGGGGTGCGCCTTTGATTGACGTGTCTCGGGACGCGCAACGGGTCCACGAATGTATTTTCTTTGGGAACCAGACCAGAGAAATCACTTGCCTCCCGTTCTGGCACGGTGAAATGATGTACACCTCCGCGGGAGATCTGATTAAGAGGGTAGTCTGTTAGGGGTTGTTTTCGTGGAAGATGTCGGAGCAGAAAACTCTGGGGGGTGGCCTCTGCGGGATTGCTACGTCGATGTCATTTTCTCTCGACTGTTCTGTTTGTGATTTAAGGATGTCTACGAGCCTGAAGTTACGCTTTGTCGTCTACTTTTCACGAAATAAATTCATCCTTCTCGGTTTCGAGGGGCGAGACGCTTTTTTCATTCGATTATTCATATCCTGAGAACAACTTCTGTACCGGCGTGTAGAATGTAGTCTGCAACTCGACAAATTCTAGAGTTCGTTATCGTTTTCCTGAATTCTGAAAGTTACAATAATGCAAGGAGAACATTCTGACAAATCCAGTCGATTTTTCTTCTTGTCAAATCCAAAACTACTCCAATCGTAGATCACGTCGATGTTACAGATAACAGAAACGGTGAACAAGCACGCGTGAGCCCACCGTGATTTTAGGAAAGAGACACCGACCAAGGGATGAGGGGTAGCTAACGAGCCGAAATGTTGTCGCTCGTACCGCGAGTAAAGTGGAAACCCGTGTACGTTAGATTGTCATCCCGAGTCAATCCTGATCACATCCAGCGCGCCCCGATCCAACCCCGTTCGCATCGTGCCTTCGACTCGCCCCCTTCTCTTGGCTTCGCCAACCCGATTGAAATCGATGGCGGGTTCCGCGAGCGTTCCATGGATTTTCCCAGGGCCCTAGAGGTGTTCCAGCGGTGATAACCAGGGCGTCGGTTCGAGGAAAAATTTCGCGAGAGTTTCACGGACTTTCCTCGTGTCCGACCCCCCGTTCCCGGCCATTTTTCCAATTCCTCGGAGACCGCGTCCCGGCGAGTCCGCCCTTCACCCCCGCCTCTTCGGACGATCAGCAGTCCATTAAAGCTTAATAGCCGAAGCATTAGGCCCCAGGGCAGATTTTGTTCGAACGGAAAGCGAGATAAATGTGTCTTTCAAATCCTCACAGTCCCCCGTGGACCGACGAGAACCGATGTTCCCGTCTGGCCTCCACCGGCCTTGAGGTCAGAACAGTTTATCTCGGTGGGGATCGATAATTTGCTATTCGGACCGTTAGGGTAGTTTTCGTCTGAAAATCTTTTAGGTTATAAGACGAGATTCGCTTTAACACGCTGTCGTTTCGGTTCCAAACCGTTGTCGGTGGTATGCATGTCCAAATTATCCCACGTTCAGTTCCTCGAAAAGACAGCAGTTGTCTGCTTGATACAGATGTTCAATGTTTACAAAGTATTTCTCCGATCCGATAATCCGACGTTGTTTCTGCGTTCTCACCAGCAAACTCGGCTTCCACTAGAGGAAAAAGCAACGTAGGGATAAAGGCCTCCTATCACTTGATAAATTCATTCCAAGTACTGAAATAAATGTTACAACGAATGTTACTTTGGCACAAATCTCAGTATCTGCCGAGATCAAGGAGGCCCTTCTCTTACGCCACCTTTTCCCCTAACGGAAGCCGAGTTTGCTCGTGAGTGTACATTACTTCTGTAGTACTGTATACTACTAAAAAAATAAGTAACTTTAGGTGGTACAGTTAAGTAACTCGCCCTGTATAAATCCAGGGTAGCTAAACCGTACCTTAACAGACCTCGCTCAAGGTCCCACATGACACCCGTCGATCTCTACCCAGTCGCCTATCCGCCAACAATCGTTCAACTTCGAGTCTCGTGCCCCAGAATTTTGTACTCCAAAAGTCCCAGATTGGTTTCTCAATCCAATTTCCTCTCCGACGCAATCACTAGCCGTTTTAGATCCAGCCAGGTCCCGACCCCCAGCATTCAAATTATCCGCGCACGAGCTGCGTCATTTCTCATACTCTTTTATCCGGAAATATTACGTTTACTGGATGGAGCAAACGCGTACGGGACCTGCGTCCTCCTCCTCGTCGCGCGCTTCTTCGCGCGCTCGGGCTAATGACGCGCGTCGGCCACGATCATCAATCACACTTTCATTACGCGGATCGCAGCTGCTCCGCATTGACTCCGCGTGGCCCGCGGCCCTATTGTTGTTATATCCCCCCTCCCCGGGTCGACGAGCTCGTTCTTGCTACGTGATAACGACGCGACGGCCCCGCAATCAGTGATTTCATGCCCGACTTCTGGTCGACGGCGATGACTCGCGAACGGTATATTGCTCGGCTCCGCGGACCTTAAATTCAGGAACGGAGGATGGTGTTCGGGAATTTGAAGGCCTGTTTTGGTGTTCGGAATTGGGGGAGTAGGAATTCGAGTGTTCAGAATTTGAGGGAGTTCTAGTGCAGGAGGGAGCTACACCATAATGATGGTGTTGAGGGATATTACCACAGATGAGATATAAGAATTGACCTGACATCTTATGGGACTTGGTGTCCCACGAAAATCACGCAGGTTCAAGCACACGATTTCGCCAGCGAGGAATAAAATACTGAAATGTTACGGGGAATCCTGACGTCCCCGAAGCATGGGACAGAAAATGACATTGCATGTTAGGTCTATTCTTATATCTCGTCTGTGATATTACGGCTTCTATGAAAAGTAGTCTAGGTTCGTCTTAGTATACTGTGATTGTATACAGGGTGATTCATAAATGCATGTCAATACTTTAGAGGATAAATCAACACACTAATATAAACAAAAAATGTCATCTGAATATATGTTCTGTATACCTTAGTTGTTGAGTTACGGATGAATAAAGAAAATGTTTGAAATATTAAGTGAACGGGAAGGTTCGAGGAATGTTTCGTTCGATTCCTAGGTCATTAAACGCGTATCATCGAGTCCAATAAATCGTTGCCTCGAAATTAGCGTAAAATTAG